TCTTGGGCTTGGAGAGTTTGGAGGGTGTGTTTGGCCCTTTGGGCAGGTGGCGGGTCACGGTGACCTTTAGTTGTAGGACCGTTGCACAGAGCTCACCTCCACCCACCTAAACCTTTATGGCCTGGATTGAGCCAATTTTACAAGCAAGCACTCTCCCTGTTTGGGGGAGCCTTGGATAAGGAATTGGGGTAAGAAAGCAATGATCCACACCAGGAATGAGATGAGGGAAAGGGCAAGAGTGTCACCTCCATGGTCTCCCTGGTGACCAAACCAAGGGGAGGTTCCCGCAGTTTCACCCTGGCCTGAACGGTCCAAGCCCTGCCTCCGTTCTCAACTTTGTCTATTACAGGGCTTGGCCTTGGTTTACTCAGTTCCTGAGCATGCTTTCAGGGGAAGGAAGCCCCCTCCCTAGCCTCAAAGACACCTCTGCCTGCAACAGGAGGCCCTGTGCCTTCTCCAGGGTGTTGGTTTATGTTAAATCTTTGCAATGCCACTGAGGAGAAGAAAATAGTCCTGACTCTAGAAGTCTCCCTGGGCACTTCAAGCCCTTCAAGACCCAGACTGTTCTCCACACTCCCACAGCCCCAACTCAGGCATCTTTCTGGGCCTGCAGCTCCTCCTACTGGTTCTGCTCCAGTTGAACATTCACAGTGAAGGCTAGGTGTGAGCCTAGGGCCTGAGTTTACGGCAGTGGCCTTTGAGGAATGGGTAAGTAGTCAGGGAGCAGACCCCCAAACCAGCCTCTGGAACACTAAGGTCACTGCAGGGGTGGAAGGGTAAGAGGCACCTGGGGCCTGCAATGGAGAGCACATTGCTCAAGCCATGGAGCAGCTCCTGGATATGGCCATGGAATTTCATCAATGCCAGTCACATCTTTTCTTCATTTTTACCTCTCCCCTGGTATCCATCACTGTCCAGCACAGAGTAGGAAGTAACCACGCTGGCCCTCAGCATCTGCCCAGCCCCTGGTCCCTGGGAGGCCCCCCAGCTGTGGAGTGGAGGACTGGTGGGTGGGACATGAAAGGGCAGATCTCAGAAGGAAAACTTTTGAGCAAAGGCAGGAAGCTCTGAATACTGAGATGACCCTGTCCTCTTTTCAGCAGGGTGATGGCCCTGCTCTCACTATATTGCTTACCCCATGTTTCTCTCGGGACACAGCTGAGAAAACTCAGCAAAGACTCCATCTCCCCCACTCTTCCTGCAGGGCCCACTCAGCTGGGACTCCCTGCCAGCAGCTGGAAATTCCCAGAACCACTCTCACTTTCTTCCTACAATAACACCCTCCTCTGAGCAGACACCTGCTCCCGGCCATCCTCACAGTGAGGAGCCCAGCTCCACGTGCAACCCTAAGTCAGAGGGATGTCCTTCCCAAAGCTTCTGGCTCCATACCCCCTTCCCAGAGCATCTGGCCCTTCTCCTAATGATGGGCCCTCTCCTCTACCCTCCACCTTCCCATCTAGCCTTCAGACCACCATACACTGATTTGACAGAAACTTGGAGGCAATAGACCCAAAGCATTCCTCATGTATGGTGGTCTACCCGAGTGGTTAGGTTCACAGATCCTGTAACCAGCCTACACATCCCTCCTCCACCACACACTGACTGTGTGGCCTTGGACAAGTTACCTTACCTCTCTGAGCTGCATTCCCTCATCTCTACTTCTTCCTAGACTCCTCATAAGGATTAAGGGAATCAATGTCTGTAAAGTGTTTTATAAGGGTCTCAGCACATCATTGGCACTCAAGAGAGGAACTGTACTATCCGCATCATCATTGCAAATTAACATCGTTTGTTAACTGGCTAGCAGAGCCACTACTGACTAATCTGTGGCATATGGTCCCCAGTGACCCTAACAGATTCTGTTGTGGGGCACATTGGCTGGGCCAGGTCAATCTCTAACCCTATGCCCAAAGCTGCATCAGCACTGTTGGGGTGGGGGGGCAAAGAAGAACTTTATCCTTAAAGAAGAGGCAACATCACAGGCAAGATAAGACTAATTCACAAAGCAATTAGTAAAAAACACAAGATAGCTTAAAACTACAAAGTTGTTCAATGCAAACTATAATTGTGTTAATAGTAAGAACCATTTGTATGGCATTTGAGAGTTTACCCAGCACTTGCAAATACATTATTTCATCTCATGTAATCCTCAAAGCAAACCAGCAAGGTAAGTACAGATGTTCCTCAACTTACAATAGTTACATCCCAATAAACCCTTCATAAGTTGAAAATATCCTAAGTTGAAAATACATTTAATACCCTCAACCTACAGAAACATCATCGTTTGGCCTCGCCTACCCTAAATGTGCTCAGAACACTTACATTAGCCCACAGTTGGGCAAAGTTATCTGTCAACACAGCATACTGTGGAATATGGGCTATTTAAGCTCATGATCACAGGGCTGACTGGAAGCTAGGCTCACTGCTGCTGCCCTGCATTACAAAAGACAATCATACTGCACCTGGTTAACCTGGGGAAAAATCAAAATCCGAAGTGCACTGACTGCATATTAACTCAGTCTACTGGATGCATATTGCTTTCACACTATCACCGTCCTAAAGTTGCAAAGTTCTAAGTCAGGGATCATCTGTTTTGTTAAATGCAGATGAGGAAACCACGGCTCCCAGAGATTAAATGGCTTAGTTGTGATCACTACCAGTAAGTGGGTGATGCAGAAAAGAAAGGTTCCACCCTGATTCTTACTTCATCTAGTACTAAGATCCTTGTTTTTTCCTGTGTGTGTGTGTGCGTGTGTGTGTGTATGTGTGTGTGAGAGACAGAGAGAGACAGACAGACAGACAGACAGTCTCCTTGGGACTGGGTGAGACTAAGACATCTGAAATTTATTTCCTCCCAGTTCTAGAGGATGGAAGTCTCAGATCAAGGCACCCTCAGGGTTGCTTTAGTTTTGGGGCCTCTCTCCTTGGCTTGCAGATGGCCACCTTCTTCCTCTGACTTCACACAGTTTTCGTTCTGTGCACGCATGTCTATATCCTAATTTCCTCTTACAAAATAAGGAACACCAGTCCCACTGGTTGAGGGCCCAGCATAAGGACTTCGTTTTAATTAATTACCTTTTTAAAGACCCTATCTCCAAATACGGTTACATTCGGAGATACTGTAGGTTCAACATATAGTAGAGGTGACACAATTCAGCTCATGTGTGTGCGTGCATGTGTGTGTGTGTATGTGTGTTACAGGGGTGGGCCCTTCTCCAGACTTCATCTCACTCTCGTCCATCTTCTCATTTCCCCAGGACTCCCTGTGGCCAGTGTAGCCTCAATTCAGGTTGCCTGTTGATGTGCGCTGTCCCTGGCGTGACCTTATTCTGGGCCTCCCTCACTGGTATGGTGGCCTCTCAGAGCTGGATAGGTCCCAGAACCCTTCAGGGGATGGGGTTTCCCCGTGATCTTGGTCCTGGCCAGAGGTCCTCAGAATATAGCAGCAAAGAAAAAGGAGCTGCCTGCATGGGCCTGCCCGCAGCAGGCATCAGTGCCAGTTACAGAGACCAGGAAAGCAGGGCTGCAGCGGCCCCTGGAGGACTCCTGGAGAAGCATGGCCATCTCCCAGACCAATCCAAGAAAGGAAGATGGCAGGAGGACTCAGGAGTAGGGCCAGGGCCTGGGGAAGGATGGAGGGAAGCAGGCAGTAGAGCAAGCCCCATAAGATTGTGCCCGCTGACACAGGAGGCTGTGTATGAGGAGAAATAAACATCAAACTGGAGGCTACAATGTGTGGGTTCAAGTCCCAGCCTCTCTGTTCCCAGTGTTGCCACCCTGGTAAGTTACCTCATCTCTCAGAGCCTGTGTTCTCACCCACAACATGGGGGAAACAGTAGCACTTGCTTCACATGTTGCTGTCAGGATTAAATGAACTAATTTTGGTAAAATGTCACCTGACACACAGTAGGTATTATCAGGGCTGCACAGTAACTTTTGTGGGTACTGGGCACTTTTGCTTTCATGGGTATCTTCCTCTATAAAAAAAAAATATTTAAAATTCTATGGTAAAACTGTGTTAGAAGAAAAATGAATAAAATCCCAGCTGGATTATACTCACTGTTTTCTTTTGGTTTTAAAAGAACTGAAGACATTTTCATGGGTCTCTAATGAATGGTGGCCACTAAGCATTGGGCCTATCAAATCTAATGCGTAAGTGGCCCCAGGGGCTGCATCAGTGTCTGCTGCTGTGGATGTTAAAATGTCTCAGAAACTGCCAAGTGTCGTGGCTGGTAAGGAGTCACTGTCACTCCTTTAAGAACACTCATTCTGTCCTCCCGGGGCCCAGCATCCCTGTCCTCCCCTCTGGGTGCTGACTGCAGTGCCTCAAAGTCCAGTCTTCCAGCAGAGGGCGCCACAGGCCTTCCCTTTAGTCCCACAGAGATGTGCAACTGGGATGTTCTGATGGGGAATGCCCTGCAGGGGTTGCACCTGGGTGAGCAGTGCCTTCAGATCTTGAGGCAGGCAGGGGAAGAGGGCTCTGAAGGACAGATGTCCACTAGGTCATTTCACAGCAGCTCCCAGGATGGTGGCAACAGCGTCCTCTAGTGGCAAAAAAAATCCCTCCATCTAATGCCTTGCCTCCCCTGCCCTTTTAGGGGCTCCCAGCATCCAAGGCATGGGGCTTGTGTTGCTGTTCATGTGTTTGTCTAAAACTCTCCTCAACCCACACAGGACTGAAACCTGATGAACTGGATTGGAACGTGAGTCAAATAGGCTCAATTCCAAGTGATGTATGAGCAATAGGATGCCTTGACATTGATGCCAATGCTTTCCCACAAAGCCTCCATCTGGTGAGCCCCACCTCAACCTCTATAGATGCCACCACCACCAGGACCACCGGCTCATACCTTCTCTGCTGGCCCCTCAAGCCTGGGCCAATGCAGGACAGCAGAGTGATGCCACACACACCTCAGCCCACCACTCAGCAGCCCCCAGGGCTGCCCCGAGTCCTGCAGCTCTTCTAGGAAGGGACCTCCCCACAGGACATGCCATCTCCATCACACTGAACAAACATTTTATTCCAGGGATTCCCAACATGTGAACAGGGTGGAAGTCTCTGACAAAGCAGGCCAGATGCTTTGGATTTGGTTTGGGGGGCCAAATCAACTAAGGCTCAGAGACCATATAAGGCCTGCATGAAGGAGGTGAGCAACCCCCACCTTCACAGGTCTGGGGTCCTAAACCCCTGGAACCATGGTCAATCCTGTGCCCAAGGCTCTTCTTTTGCAGGCCATGAAACTCTCACTACAGCTGTGACACTGCTGCTCAGGCCAGGGAGGGAGGGGGTACTACTGGCAACTGTTCACACCCCCTCACTCAGCCTCCCTGGTGACTGGGCACAGAGAAGCCAGGGAACAGAGCAAAGCCAGCTGGCTCCAGAACCAGCTGAGCAGCCTCCCAGGAACCTCCTAACCTATGCTTAATGGGGAGGGTGCACAAGGCAGCTTAGAGGGTGCGCCTCCCTGGGATCTGAAGCCTAAAGGAAGCCACCTCCAGCCAGGCTACCAGGAGGCGTTCAGAACATGGCCCTTCCACCGCCGGCTAAGGTCCTCAACGGTGTCCCGAAGCATCAGCGTCCAGGGGTCACCTCTCCGCATCGGGGTGCAGTGTGTCTCCTTGTGCTCCAGGGCTACAATCTCCACAGGAGTCTCAGGAGTCAGGCCAGCAGCCAGGACAGCTTCTGGGAACTTGGCTGCAGAGGCAGGGGCGAGGCAGCACCGGGGAGTGCTGCTGGGAATGGGGGCAGGTGGCAGCAGGAGGACAGTGAGAGAATAGATAGAGGGATGGGAAAGGAAAAGATGGAGGAGGAAGTAGAAGGAACAGGGGAAGTTTAGGGATAGGGTGGGGTATGGAGGAGACACAGACAGACGATTGGCACCTTAAACTTATTGCTACAATAATGCTACCTGGGCAAATTCCTCCTCCAGGTTGGAGGCCAGCTCAGCCACCAACTCTGCCCCTGGCTGTCCTTGGGATACCTGTCATGCTCCCTCTTCTGGGCCCACAGTTTCCAGGGTCCAGTTCCACACAGCACCCATCACACCCCATTACGGCCATTTGTTCGCATTCCTGTCTCTCCCGCTACTTGGAGAAGAAGAGGGCCCCTGAAATTCAAATGGTCCCCCAGTGACCCAGGCCCCCATGACCTATACCTGGGCTGCTGCCTGTCCATCTGCTGGTAATGGTAGTTCACGGCCACCGCTGAGTGGGGGCACAGCAAGTACTGGTTCTCATCCCAGCAGCGGCCCATGGTCTGGGTGATGGCTTCATCCGACACTGACTCGGATGTCATCGCCTCTAAAAGCTGAAGGGTCCCAAGTCAGAAGGATGAGACTCAGTGTAGGGGGAAGCAGGGAAAGATGACAAAACCCCACTCTCCACCACAGACCCACACAAAACCCAAAGATCCAATGGGACATTCAGACAGAATGGCTCAGATGTGGCTCACAATAAAATACAGCCTCCCAGTTTTGAGCTGACTCACTCAATTTGAGGATCCATTTGAGTTTTATGTCAATCCATTTAGTTGGGATTTGGCTCCTAGTCAACAAATATAGATTTGTTCAACAACCTGCCACAGACAGAAGGCTTGGGGCAGCCACATATCTGGTGCTTGGTTTTTGGCACACCTCCTTCTTGTCAGTTCCTATTCAGCTCACTGAGCACTTCTTCCAGGAAGCCCTCTCTGCTTCCTTCAGACAGAGGAGGACTCCTTGTCAGTGTGTTTCATTTATTTGATCATCTTCTGAAAATGTACTGCATGCTTACAATACATCAAGCACCCTGCATATACTTGACTGCCGTAAAGATCACAGCTGTTTTTCTTTTCTTTTTCTGAGACAGAGTCTCTCTCTATTACCCATGCTGGAGTACAGTGATGCAATCTTGGCTCACTGCAACCTCCACCTCCCAGGTTCAAGTGATTCTCCTGCCTCAGCCTCCCAAGTAGCTGGGATTTACAGCCACGCACCACCATGCCCAGTTAATTTTTGGTTTTTGTTTTGGTAGAGACAGGGTTTTACCATGTTGGCCAGACTGGTCTCAAACTCTCGACCTCAAATGATCTGCCTGCATCGGCCTCCCAAATTTCTGGGATTACAGGCCGTGAGCCACCCAGCTGATATCACAGATTGTCATATAGCTACCTGCTGTGAATTAGGGTTCCCAGCAGGCAATGAATGTATTTTACTTGACTGTGTTTCTCATACCTAGCACAGTTCCTGGCTCACAGTAGATACATAACATGAATGGATGAATGCCATTCCAGCAAGTGAAGTGTCTTCTATGTGTATAGCCAGAGAGAGAACGAAGGAGTGGGGGGTATGGTGTCTGTCTTCACGGAGAACCTCATTTATATGAGAAGGAATGTGAATATCAAAACAAACCATTAACCAAACAAATTGATCTTTGGGTGCATCAAAAGCAGTACAGATTCCAGAAGGCTGAAATTCTGCTCCAGTCTGCACTGGTATGGCTCAGCCTGGAGAACTGTATCCAACTTTGAAAACAACACTTTAAGGTGGATAATGACCATGCAAAATTATGTCAGGCAAGGGACCATTAAAGGAAGTGAGAAGACTAACTTGGTAAATGAGGATTCTCTTTAAATATGGGAAATACTAGGATATAGAATCAGACTGTGTAAGCTAGAAGCAGATTCTAGCTCAACATAAAGACTTTTGTAATGGTGAGAGCTCGTGTGAGGCATTGAGGGCCTGGTCACTGGAGGTATGCACAGTCTGGATGGCCACTCAGAGGACACCTGTTTCTTAAGCTATGAGCCAGTCACTTGTACTGCCACTTTACATGGAATAATTGATTGAACGAGGAGAGGTAATAGAGAACATGGTTTACAGTCAAATGGCCTCAATCCCAAGTGAGCTCTAAGACACTGGGCCAGTTTCCTAAACTCTGTGCCTCAGTTCCTTCATCTATAAAATGTGGATAGTAAACCTCATAGAGTTGTTATGAGATTTAAGTGAAATAATATACATGAGGCACTTTGCATACTTCCTAGTTAATATATGGCTTGATACATTAACTTATTTTTACTTACTATGGGTGTTAATTTCTAATAATACTGGCAACTGGGAGCCATTTTGCCCATCCAGTATGAACAGAGACCATTGTTCCTGTTGAGTTCGCCCCTCCCTTCCTCAAGAAACAGGTGTCCTTTTCCCCTTACCAGACTTCCAAACCCCAGGTCTGCGATGTGGCTGTACCCTTTCCTTTCTCTGTGGTGTGTGGGTAGTGACTGACCTTGCTGTGCAGTTCCTTGGGCAGATTCAGACTTTGGGTCCTTTCAAACTGCTCCATGAGGGCTCTTGTCACCTGGCTGTCAGAGCCAGAAAGCAGCCAGAATACCCTCTCCATGTTGTAGGGCACCTGGGCAGAAAGTCAGTTTCAGGCCCACACTGATCTCAGCCCCATCCAGCCCACCCAGCCCCAACTAATACCTGGGCCACATCTGCACACCTCCCCCAGGCCTACCTGAATGTCCATAGCTGATGCCAAGGTTGATTTAACAGTCTCAGACAGAGAGAAGTCTCCCTGCTGGACAGTCCTGTGGATGATGTCATTGCGGTTCACTGCCACAACCAGACGGATGGGCAGGCCTATCTTCTGAGCGATGTACCCAGCTTAAGACAAGACAGAAGAAACAAAAGAAAAAAGTAAATTGGGCTTCATCAAAATTAAGAAACTTTTGTGTTTTGAAGCTTTTGTGCTTTAAAAACAACACTATCAAGAAAGTGAAAAGGCAACTCATAGAATGGGAAAAAAATGCAATTCATATATCTGATAATGTCCTTGTATCTAGAACATATAAAGAACTGTTGCAGCTCAACAATAAAAATACAAATAACCCAACTTAAAAATGGGCAAAAAAACAGGCATTCCTTCAAAGAAGACATACAAATGGCCAATGAGCACATGAAAAGATGTTCAACATCATTAGTCATGAAAGAAATATAAACAAAAATCATGAGACATCACTTCACACCCTCTAGGAGGGTGAGAATCAAGATGACAGATAATGAGTGTTGGTGAGGATGTGGAGAAACTGGAAAATTCCCACATTGCTGGTGGTGACATAAAATGGTGCAGCCACTTCGGAAAATTGAAGTCTGTCAGTTCCTTAACATATTAAACACAGAGTTATCATATAACCCAGAAATTACACTCCTAGTTATATACCCAAAAGAAATAAAAATATATGTTCACATGAAAACTTATACACAAATGTTCACTGTGGTATTATTCATAACAGCCGAGGTGTTAAAACAATCCAAATGTCTATCAGCTGATAAACTGATAAATAAAATATACCACTGTATGGTATATCCACACAATAGCAACAGTACTGATATATGATACAACATGGATGAACCTTGAAAACATCATACTAGGTGAAAGAAGCCAGGCACAAAAGACCACATACTCTATGATTCCACTTATAGAAAATGTCTAGAATAGGAAAATTTATAGAGACAAAGTAGATTCATGGTTGTTGAGGGCTGGCGAGGGAGGTGGTCTAAGGAAAAGTCAGGAGTGACTACTAATGGGTACAGCGTTTCTTTTCAGCGTGATGTAAACTTTCCAAAATTGATTATGGTGACAGTTACACAACTCTGTGAATATATTATACTAAAAACCACTGAATCATATACTTAAAATGTGTGAATGGTATGTGAATCATTTAGCAATAAACCTGTTACACACACATACACACGGAGAGAGAGAGAGAGAAGAGAGAAGACAGAGAGCAAGAGAGCGAGAGCGTGAGAATGAGTAGGAGCACATAACCACACCATAAGGCCGTTCTATGTGTCAGCCCCCTGCCAGGTGCCAAAGTATTTAATAGATGGCTGACTACTGTAAAACACCAATTTTTGGAAGAGGAAATGAAAGTTCCAAGAGGTCAAAATGACCTGTCCGAAGCCTGTGAAGTGTCAGAGTCAGGATTCAAAATACACCCACGTCCAGAGCACATACCCTCCCTTGACTCAGCCTCCTAGAGACAGTAGCTTCAGACTATTCTCACTGCACAGGCACCAGGGGAGGCCAGAGCAGCACCCTCAGTCCATCCCAACAGCAGGTCTTATTTTCATGGAACAAGCAAGGAATTCCTCCCCCTCAGAGGTGTAGAGCCCAGACACGTCACATTGTTTAGTAAAGTTTTACACATGGTGCTTTCATGAGCAGTTTACCTCTGGTGAGTAGCTAAGAGTTAGGGACAACCACACCACCTAATATCACTCTTAACTTGGAAAAACACTTTCTCATTCTTTTTTTTTTTTTTTTTAATGAGACTGAGTCTCTGCTGCCCAGGCTAAAATGCAATGGCGCAATTTCAGCTCACTGCAACCTCCACCTCCTGGTTCAAGCAATTATCCTGCCTGTGCCTCCTGAGTAGCTGAGATTACAGGCATGCACCGCCATGCCTGGCTAATTTTTGTATTTTTAGTAGAGATGGAGGGTTTCACCATGTTGGCCAGGCTGGTCTCAAACTACTGACCTCAACTTTCTCATTCTTATTTCACCTCATCCTCATGAGAACATCATGATATCCTTGCCTGACAGAGAAGAAATGGAGGCTCAGGAAGGTCCAGGGCCTTAAAGCCAAAGAGTTGGTTCATGACAGAGGAAAGAGGGATAGAAACACCCTCAGCAAATGTTGGCCACATGTTTATTTTGTATCAAGTACTGTGGTATGCTTTGGGCTGCAGAGGGCCACTGGCTGCACAACTTGGTGCATCACTAATTGGAGGGTGATAGGAATGGGGAGCACGGTGGGCTTTACCCCATAGTGGCAAAGAAGCCCATCCCTCCTTGCCCGCCAGCCCACTGTTCTCTCCACCCCCGTCAGTGGCAGAGGTCAGGAAGCTTCCTAACCACTAAGATGCTTCGGTGCTCTCAGCTAGACCATCCTTGGTGCCCATCAGAACCAATGCCATCACTGGAACTACCAGCAACAGTGATTCCCCTATCCTTGTCAGCTCTGCAGCCAGACTGCATGGGTCATGCTCCTTGCTCCACTGCTGCCCAGCTCTGTAATCAGGGCATGACTGCTTTCTTTGTGCCTTTGTTTCCTCATTACAAAATAGAAAGTATCCTCTCCGCAGGAGGATGAATGAGTTAATACATGAAAAGCACTTAGAACAGTGCCAGTTGCACAGTAAGTCCTTAATAAGTATTAATGATTATTAGAGAAATGATTTTAATGCTACACAGGTGTACAGCACTTTGCCCTTACAAAGTCAGCATGCACATAGGAATCTTATTTGCTCATCGAGGCAGTCCTGGGAGATATGATGATACAATCTCATTTTATAGCTCAGAGGTTGAGTCTAAAGGACTGTTCCACAGTCTCTCAGCTAGTAAAGAACAGAACTTGGGCCAGAACCCCAAGTCCAGAACTTTTTCCACTTCACACAGGGTCAGGGTAGTGTGTCCAGGAGTGGGAACACATGTGCCAGTCAAGCCACTTGCCCTCACAGTGGGCGGCTGATCAGGGTTGGAAGCAAAGTCCACATTTCTGATTGAGGGCACTTCCAGCCAGACATAACAGCTGACCTTTGACCTTGCCTCTCCACACTCTGCTGAGCCAGCAAGCACATTGGGTCAGGCTGCAGGAGCACTCAGGGTTAACCCATCACCCTCTGATGGCAGCAGGAGCCCAGGATGCTGCCCCAGGCAATGAGGTGGAACATCTTCTGGGAGCTTCTTCTGTGGGCTTTCCCATCACCTTCAGAACTGGGACTCCACCTTCTTTCTCCTCACAATTGCATCCAAAGGGCAGCTAAAAGGGCTGGGGCCACAGGCATTTTTCTGGAAAGCCCATTTGTGCCCCAGGGGCTCCTTACCTGCAAGGTTACCAGCAGCCCCTGTTGGCACAACCACTTCCACCAGGGGTAGGGGATGCGTGTCCAAGGACGGTGCACACTGGAAGTAGGCAAAAAAGTAGTGGGCCATCTGCACCAGGATCCGGGACCAGTTGATCGAATTCAGGCTCATCAGATTGTGCTTCTTGACAAAAACCGTATCAGCAAACACGGCCTTGATCGGCTCATCAAGCTCATCACTGTTTCCCTCCACTGCCAGGGGAGAGAAGAGAGGGCAGCTGTCAGGAGCACATAGAACCCCCAGGAGGTCAGCACTCACTTGTGACAAGGCCAAGTCCATCCTCCTGGGACCTTCGCACGGCCTTGGTTTCTTTACTTTCACATAGCTTGGCCTCACTTTCTAGACTCAATGTTAAGGTCCTCAAGGACAGAAATCCATGCCTCAGATTCTTGTGTTCCTAAAGATCTGCCCTAGCTTAGAACAGAAAGGGCAGCCAGAACCAGTGCCAATGTTTCTACCATTATCTAAAATAAGACAGCAAATGTCAACCTTCTGGGACACTGGGAGAATTTCTCTTTGTATTCCATGCCCACTTCCCCCACTCTTCCACAGAGGAGGAACTACGTACCTGATTGTGAGATGGTAAGAGACCTAGCCTTTCCTCCACAGTCCTCTATCAGGGGCCAGGGTGGAAACTGTCACCATTCCCCTGTGCCCTCTGCCCTCATTTAGATCACAGGGTAGGGGTTCTGCTCTCTGCTCCTACAAGGCAGGTAAGCTTACATGGACAGAACTTCCCATCCCTGAAGCTGGGTGTGTACATCAGTGTAATTTATGAGTGAATTGCCAGATGAATTTGTGGGTGAATTGTCTACTAATAAAAGTTATATCCACAATCTAGCTCAATAAGCAATCAAGCCAATACTGATTTCTTATCTGATACCCGAGTATTTCTCCATTGGATCTACACTTGGGAGGGGAGAGGGGTAAAATTTACTGGGAAATGTACCAGAGTAGGAGTAGGCATTAAGGGTGCTAACCATTCTGCCCTTCACCACTGTGTAGCAGCACTGGGGCTGGGGGACTGACTCTAGATCCACGTGTGTACCTGAAATAGCCAGAACCAGTCGTGGTGATTCTATTCCTTTGCCAGGACCATGCCAATCAGTGCCTGGCATTCTCATGGGGTCAGGTTTGGCTCCACAATGAGCATGTGACTAAATTCAGGTCAGTGAGCCACAAGGACACGTTTGCTGGGTTTTTTTTCTTTTTTCTTTTTTCCATTAGAGACCTAATATGGTGATACAAGTTTGCTGGGTTCTAAAAAAAGATTTGCTGCTTTTTAAAAAGAGCTATAGGAAAGGAGAGACATGTACCTCAAGGAATCACCTTATGACCACAAGAGGAATGAACCTTAGGACTGGGAATGGCAAAGCAGAGAACGGGAAGGACCTAGGTTCCTGAGAGTACTTTGAGTCACCAAATCAAGCAAATGGGAGCCCACTCCTCCTCTGGATTTCCAGTTATGGAAGCTGGAAAACATTCTTGTTCATGCTGGTCTGAGTTGAATTTTTTGCTACTTCCAGCCAAAAGTATCCCAAACAATATAATTAATAAATACCTAGCACTTGCTGATTATTCCGTGCTTAAGAAGAATGAAGTATACAATGTACATGGAAATTAATGACCTTATAAACCAGTGTCCACACACAAAAATCTAAGTGGTCCATTCCTACTTCCTAAGCTTATCAGTCTACAGAAAAATACATATTTGCTGTTATAACCTGTACTAACACACATTCTCCTTAAAACCAAACCAGAAAGCTCTAGAAAGCAAAGGAAGCATTTGAATACTGCCATTTATAAACAAAACTGATTTCTGCAAAGTCTACTGCCTTAGTTTCTTATTTTCTTGAATATGTAGAGAACAGAAATACCCCCTTCAGATCCAGTATTTAATGACTTACTGAATTCATCAGATTCCAGATTTGTGCCATTACTTTACAACTGGGCACTGTTCTCCAATCCACAAGTCAGGAATGGAGCTTTCATTCACACCCTTAGGTCTGTGTACAAGGTAAGAAGAGAGAGACAGGACAGAAGCACAAAATGCTATTCTTTCCTTCATTCTAGGAAAAGACAGTCCTAGATCCATAACTAGCAATTTTGGTACTTGGGGTATAACAAGGATCCTCAGGAGCCTGAATCTTATGCATTAAAGTCTTGTAACAACTACACGAAAATGCAGCGAAATGTGAACAATTAGCAAGGCTAATGTGTAAGATGATATCAACACCTGCATTAGCTAAATCATGGACTTTTCAACAGCAAATGTATGCACTCTGTAAAGAACAGAGCAGAGGGGCAGTTTGCTCTTAAACAAACTGGCAAAGGATATTTACGCTACTCCTTTGGATAACGTTTGTTTTCATTATGCTTTTGCGCCTTGTCAAAATTGATGTTATATAAAAATAACCCCTACAGGATTATCATAAGAGGCCAGGCCAGTTGTAGAAGGAATATTCTCTGCCATCACACTTGCTGTCCTGCCAGGTGAGTGACCAAACTAAGCCAGGCCTCCTGGAAAGCCTGCCCAAGGCCACAGCCTGCCCAGCCCAAAACTTATTCCAAATCCCCACCTTGTAGCTACCTTGAGTCCACTGGGGTGCGAGAGGTAAAAAATAAAAATGTACAGCTCCACCCACATTCACCCCATCTTTCTCTACTCTCAATCCCTATAAAGATTAAATCCATTCAGAATAGATGACATGATATTAAAGAAAATGGCGTTTGCTTTTCTCCAAGCACAAGATGCTGTGACTCTCATAATGTGACTCAAGTAGGGGTATAACCAGTGGTAGGTACCACTGAGTAGTTCCCTGTTTTAAATATTTAGACCAGATAACCAGTGCATGGCTTAGTTGTTCCCATATTATAAAGAACAGCGTGAACTGTCAACATGTAATAAAACATTCTCTCTCTTTTTTTTTTTTTTTTTTTTTTAGACAGGGTCTCAACTGTTGCCCAGACTGCAATGCAACGGCATGATCTTGGCTCATTGCAACCTCTGGGCTTAAGCGATCCTCCCATCTTAGCTTCTGGAGTAGCTGAGACTACAGACACATATCACTACGGCTGGCTAAGTTTTGTATTTTTTATAGAGGCAGGGTTTCGCCATGTTGCCCATGATGATCTCAAACTCCTAGGCTGAAGCGATCTACCCACCTTTACCTCCCAAAGTGCTGGGATTACAGGCATGAGTCACTGCACCTGGTAGCACATTTTCTTAAAATAATTATTTAACATGTTGGTGTCCCCTAAACTTCAGTCTTGGAACAAAATCCAAGTCAGTTGGCTCAGGTTATGGCTCTGCATGAGGCTCCCAACATATATGACACTTGCAGGTTGGACCTGCATGAAGGTGGCATTTTTTGGTTTTCAATCTGTACTTCCTATGTTGTACTGTTGGTATTGACTTATGTCTCTGTCGCCTTCAATAGTTTACTGTGTAGCCAGAACCCTGCCCAAAGCTAAGCCAAGGCATATACACCAACCTTGAATACGACTGATAAAAGGAAGACAGTCAGCTAGCCAATAGTGCAGTTGTGTTCCAGCCCATCTCCCAACGCAGACCCAATTAAAGTAGGGCTGCACTGTCCCCAGAGACTCTGCCTCAGCACACACCTCCAAACACATGGACGTTCTCCCTCAGCACTGTTGTCATCTGGAGCTCCTGAATCTTTGTGCAGTGACCTTTGGGCAGCAGAACGATAATGTCCATGTTCTTTGCCCCTTGAACACTCTCAATGGCAGCACTTCCTGTGTCCCCAGACGTTCCTGGATGGGAAGAAAGAAGAACTCGCCCCCTTTAGAACAAAGGGAATGAATGAGGAAACAAATGGTCCCCAAAGCAGTGTCGTCAAATAAAGCAATATCTACTCAAATACTTGGAGGATATGAACCTAGTACTCCACCTAAGGTCCATGGATCCACGAATAAAATTCAGGACATCAGTGAACCTGTGAACGACATCATCTTAAGCATTTTGGGCATTTCAAACATTACTCTGAGAAAGATCCACAGACTCCATCAGCCTGGCAAAGGGGTCCACGGCACCAGAAAAGGTTAGGAACCCTGCTCTGGAAGAACTGGTAACACAGTCCCTGAGGGGCTCAATGAATGGCATCCTATAGGTGGACACCCTACACTCAGGTATTCCGCGTTCATGCTCCAAAACACACCTACGACCACAGTGACATGCTTCTCCTTCTTCTCCAGGAAGTACTGCAGGAACTGTGCTGTGCAGGACAAGGACAGGTCCTTAAATGCATATGTGACGCCATGCCACAGCTCCAACACGTTCAGCCCATTCCTCAACCTGGACAGATGGACCACCTCTCTGTGACGGAATCTGCTGAAGGCTCGGTCAATCAGATCTGTGAGGATGAGGGGGGTGGAGAGCCACTGAGGGGCCTGGTCTCTTTCTCAAGTCCCCTCTCAGTCTCTGAATATAAAGTTTCCAACTCCTGCTACTAAGTTAAAAGGCCAGAAATTTTCATCTTAAATGGTATCATTTTTGAATACAATTGTATAAACCTAGAAAAAAGTCTGGGAAAACATGCACGAAACTGTTCATAGACTCCTTATAGTGATTTCCCCAGAGACCAGAACTGGTACTAGAAGACTTTATTTTTCACTTTTTATACTTCATTGTTTGACTGTCTTGTGAGCAAGTACTCCAATCAGGGGTCAATTAAATAGCTACATAACACACTAATGTCACATCCCATCTAATGCTCCTTCCTAAAAAGAGGAAGCTTTTTGTTTGTTGCTCACACCTGTGACTCAGAACCTTTGGATGGTTGATATACAGCCCTCCCTAAGGCAAACTGTAGAAGTCCTAGAGCAGAGCTTCTCAAACTGTCACTGGCAAACCAAGCCCCTGGGATCTTGTTAAAATGCAAGCTGGTTCAGTCAGTGGGAGGGAGTCTCAGATTTCCAACAAATGCCCAAGCAATGCCATCACTGCTGGTCACTGGACTGCATTTTACGTGGTCCGTTCTCTTGCCAACCCCAAACCACCACCACTAAGTTATGGATTTTGTACTTGCTACTTAAAGTGTGGTTCATGGACCAGTAGTCTAGTATTATCTGGACATCTGACAGAAATGCAGAATTCTCACACCTACCCCAGACCTACTAAATCAGAATTTGCTTTTTAAGAAGATCCCCAGGGGAATCCATAGGCACATTACAGCTTAAGACAAACTGGTCCCAGACAGTCTTGAAGTCCCCTCTGGAACTACCATTCAAAAAAACAAAATAGCAATTTGGGGGTCTGTGTGCTTTACGTGCAGGAAAGAAACACCCCAACATTCAAGTCACTCAAGATAATTCTAAAATCTCTAGTCTTGAAGAGGTTTCTGAAGAAAGAAAGAAAGAGAGAGAGAAAGAGAGAGAGAGAGAAAGAAAGAGAAACAGAGAGAGAGAAGGAAAGAAGGAAGGAAGGAAGGAGAGAAAGGGGAGGGGAGGGGAGGGAGCGAAGGAAGGAAGGAGAAAAGAGAGGAAGAAAGAAAGGGAGAGGCAGAGAAAGAAAGAAAAGGAAAGAAAGAATTCCCTGTAAGTAATTTCAACATTCATCTTGCTGGAGAAAGGATGAAATCTTTCAGAATATTTTCAGTTCTGGGATTCTAGAGTCAGGAAAAAATCCCAAAGTTTGAGAAACATGATTATAGACTTCTTAGTGGTTTGGTGATGGATTTGCAACTCTGTAGACTGAGCTAGCAGGGGCTCAGGGAGTGGAAGTAGGCGTGGGAGTGCTCACCATTTAAGTCATCTTTTGGAATGAGCTCAGAGCCAATGAAGAGGGCGCACAGCTCCTTCACGAGGCCAGGATAGGAGAGTGCACTCCACTGACACAGGGTCTCTCTGTCCAACTGTGGGAGCTCCTCAGGCATAAAGAGACCTCCATCGGATGCATAGCCAGAGAAGAGGGCCCCCTCAAAGTCAACCCGTGGGGCCATGCCCCTGGTGCTAACGTACCACATGATCCTGGAAGCCTGCAGAGGGGACAGTCCCAGAGGCACCTGGTCTCAAAGCTCCCACATCCCATGGAGCAAAGCACACACAGCTCCACAGTTAGCCTCTGGACCATCACTCTCTGGGGGCACGTGACCCAGACCTAGAGATGGCAGTCCTATCTCAAGTCTCACACCAGCTTTATCTGCAATTGTGCAAATCATGATTCCACCAATCAAAACGAGGTAATTCCACTGATCTCCTATCCTGAAGGAGGGGGTATCAGAGCATGCCAGGAAAAGAGAAAGCTTGGTCCTCACCAGTAGGAAAGAAGGGCTGGGGGTGAGGACAGATAATATTAATAGAAGGCAACTGCTCACTTGATATCCCTCTTGATAAGGTGAAGACCAACACACAGGGTCATACACCCCTTTGAGAGATGTCTGGGTCTGCTTCTGCTCAAAAAACAAACAACTTCAATGGTTATCAGAAACAGTCTACAGCCAAGTAATTCTCAACTCTGCTAGCCTGCTGGAATCAACTTGAAAGCTTTATAAAAAAGTGCAAATACCTGAATCAATTAAATTAGACTGTAAATGAGAGGCTCATCAAGAGAGTCTAACGTGCAGCCAGGGTTGAGAAGAGGGTAATCAATTCATCCCAGTTTGCCCGGGGTTTTCTGGTCTTAAAACTGCAAGACCCATGTACCAGGAAACCCCTCAATCCCAGGCAAAGATGGTTGGTCATCATAGTGGATGTCCCAGCATCTTAGCCTAATGTCCCAGCATCTTAGCCTAAGATGTCCCAGCATCTTAGCCTAATGCTAGGACAGTTAGAAGTGCTGACATTCAGTCTCTTTAAAACTAACTGGCCCTGCATGGACTGAGTTCTCTGGTTCCTGGGGAAGCCCAGGACACCTCAGGCCTAACTCTGGTCACACTTCCAAGTCAGTTACTTTTCCAGGAGCCAGGTGCCATGTCAAGGAGCTGGGCTTGAACAACACCTTCCTCTGGATCATGACAGTGAATTTAGGAGGACTGGCTTCAAAGCCCCATAGTAACTGGGGATGAATTTGACTAGACATATTTCTCAGTATTAGCTTGGACTTTCTGTGCCAGGGTGGAAGGGGAACCCCTACCCTCTGGGGGCAAAGCCACCCAAAACACTGGGTGAGCATTGACTTGGAGGAATTCTGGTTTCTTAGTCTGTGGCTCTAAAATCTGTGGGCCAGTGCAACTCTCACATGGGCTGCCACGTGCCACTCTCTTAATTACAAATTTAAGTGCATCTAACTTAGAGACAAAGACAAGGTTGATCATACAAACCATTAATCTTTTGAAAGTGATTATGCTGGGACAAACAGTATAAGCCAGAACTATCTCTGGCAACCCAGGACACAAGGTCACCCTGTATGTGAGTCCATGTCAAAGAAATGAAATCTGGGTAATTCCAAAAGTTAACTGCAGTGGATAAACAAAGCAGGTGCAGTGTTCCATAAAACAGAACTGTGGGGGGGGGGGGGGGGCAGGGGCTAGCAGTGCCTTCCACAAAGAAAGGAATTTCTGCAATTCTGTAGTAAGAGTTAAAGCCATCGCAAACTGCCCAAGACCCTGGAGTAACAGAAAGCAAGCCTTCATAGGACCAGACTGAAATGCTACGCCTGAGCTTCCAAGGAAACCATGGCAGGAGTGAGGGCAGGAACAGGCAGGGCCAGTAGGAGACAGCAAAAGAAAACATTTTTGAAATGTCCTTCCCTGGGTGGAAGGAATACCTCGGGCACTGGGAAGGAGGATGTACAACTGTCCTGGAACAGTGGGCAGAGGGGCTGGCGCAGGGTTCTGCACAGGTCATGGAAGGAGCGGGCCTGATTAGCACAGACCCATGCCCTTCACACAACAGGACTGTCCCTGTTCTGTCCAATGGTCTCCAGCAGCAGCATTACCAGGCCAAGAGAGCAGAGCTACAGAGAAATACACATGATTGGGTTCCATGTAGGCCAGAGGCCGAATCAGCAACCGCAGGTGGTGGCGAAGTTGAGGAAGAAAACCAAGCGCTGTTGTGAGGCTGCTCTATGAGCGCTTCAAGCGTGGGATGGGGACCTGGACTACGTGACCTCTGGGATTTTATATTCTAATAATTTTTCCGTGCGAGGTACTCCTCTGGAACCTATTCCAGAGTGGGAAAAGGTCAGAGAAACTCTGACCAATAACCAGGATAAATAACTAATGCGGAAAATAGGAGTCGTCCGAAGGCTGGGGACGGGAAGGTGGGTAGAAGGGAGCTCCTCCGGGAGGTGGAGGGGCTTTGTGAGGAGGGGTGGAGCAGGGCAGAGCCGGACCCCAGCAGCCCACGGCACCCTTAGCGGTGGAGGCAGGCCCCCGGCTCTCTGAGGCTGCCGGCGCCAGTCATCCAGCCGAGGAGGGCGGCCCAAGCCCTCAGGGGGCTCGCAGGCGCCTGAGGTTGCACTCCCAGCCCCTGAATACACCGCGGACTTCGGTTTCGGGGTTCCCCAAGAACTGCCCAAACCCCGCAGAAAACGTAAAGCATCGGAAACCCCACCACCACTCTCCCAAATTCTCCTAAGTGCGAGCGCCGGAAGTAAAGGTTCCAGAAACGCGGAGCGGCCGACGCGGGCCCTCGGAAGTCAGGGCTGAGCGGAGCCGCGAGAGCGTCGAGACTCGGAAATCTCGCCCGCGACGACCGCTGGAGGGCTGCGAGGTTGGCAAGCGTTACCCGTGCGGAGTACGGGACGCGACGCGGCGACCCGGGATGCTGACGTGCGCGCTCCCGCGTCCGCGTATCCGGCGGCGGGATGAGACTTCCGGTCGGGGCCGGGGCCGCGGCTCTCAGTTCCGCCGCTGGAAGGACCTGGGGTTGCGGCGCGGGGCGGAGGTCGGCGGGGAGGGCGTGGGCAGCGCCGCGGCAGGAGGGAAGCCTCGCGAGAGAGAAGCCTCGTGCACCTCCTGCGGCCTGTTTTTTAAGGCTCTTCACTAAACGCTTTATTCGCCTTCAGCCTCTGAATCTTCGCTGCAGGGCTGTGAGTCCCACAAAATCAAAGTTTTCAGTTTAGAAAATGGACAGAAGGATGTGAGGAAGAAGGACCCTGCGTTCCTTTAGGATCCTAGTTTCTTGTCTGCAGCATCAGAGGGCTGGACAGACGCCTTGGTCCTCAAACTGTGGTTAGTATGTTAAGACTTCAGGACCCGCCAGGTAGGTGACATCGACTCCACTCCAAAAAATCTTTTTTAAAACATTTCAGTGGTTTTGAGGGGTATACAATTCTTTATATTTTTTGAGAAACACTTTTTATTAAGCATAGGTCTGTTTCAGGATAAAAGCCCATCACCCCATTTTTAAGAGAAAAAAAAACTTGAAGGAAAAACAAAACAGCAACAAAAACGCCTTCTAAATATGCCCAAATGCCCCTGGATTCACATTCAGCTCCTGGGGCCCAACCCACTGAAGCAAAGTTAGAGGAGCTGGAGCAGACAAGCGCGGGCAAAGGTTTAGTCCTGGATGGGTCAGGTCACTGTGGCAGTCCTGGCTGGGCCTCCAGCGGCCCTCTATTGTTGCCTGTTTCCCTTTTTTCTTCCTCCTATCTCTGACATCGTCCTACGTTTGTGGTCTCTGCTTACTCAAGTTACCTGTTCGAATTTTATTCTCCAAAATTCTGCCCATACATGGTGCCCACTTGACATATCCACACAGGTTCATGCAGCTACCATGACCGTAGTCTGGGTGGGTCTCAGTTCCAGAAAGAGAGAGAGAGAGAGAGAGAGAGAGAGAGACAGAGAGAGACAGAGAGAGACTGAGAGACTGACTGGTCACTGCTCAACTAAATGGGATTGGCCTTCTTGTCCCAAGCTGGGGCTGAGGACTTGTCACAGAATTCACATAGGGGTCAGAGGGGCCATTCCAAGAGAGATGGATATAGGCCAGGCAAGGACCCCCAAAGGGTTTTCATCCCCTCTGTCAGGTGTACTGAATCACTCAGAGGTCAGGGAAACTGAGGTCCATGGCAAAAATGCTGCAAGATTCAGCAGCGTGTGTTACAGCACTCATAACCAATCAGTGGAGTCTGCATAAGGACAGACACATCTTCCATGGAGCTCTCCCACACGCCCTCTGCCACACTTACACAAGCCTGCAGGCCTTTGCAATTCTGTGGGCAGGAGAAGTGGCCAGAAACTCTTCTGTGAATTGTAGTTTGACTCCCCAGAAAAGAGAGGAGCAAAAGGCTCAGGGAGCAATAGGGTTCATTGGGAGTCTCTGTCTGGGACATAAAGAACAGTGCAGCCACAGAGAACAGAAACTTCTGCATAGCCCATGAGGAAGGCAGAATTCTGAATGCCAAGCAACAGTAGGGATGTGGAGTTCTCAGAGACTTCTACATGGTGTCAACATTCAGTTTTTATAGGATTAGAAACCACTTGTTTTTTTTTTTTTTTCTTTTCAACCTTATTGATTAGAGTGCTTAGCTGTCTGTAACATTGAAACCAACAATGTTCCAGCCAATGCTGAAGCAGAGCCCTGGGATCCATGCAGTGCTGTTTCTTCTGTGTGGCCCAGGCAGAGCTATCTTTAGAGAGGCTTCTCTAAGCCTGTGCAGGAGAATTTACCTCTGTTGCCATGCGACAGAACCAGAGCCCTTGCTAAGAATTAGATTAGGGCCTAGACTTCTGGAGAAGAAAGCAACCTGCTAAAAGTCCTCCAGATTTTGTGCAGGGCAGAGGCCAGAATGCAGGCTGCTTCTAATATCCAAGCTGGGCAAGGACAGCAGGGCAGAAAAGAAAGAAGATGACATTCCAAGTCAGAACACACTGTTCTCTCTGAGCATTTTTGAACTCCTAAATTGATAATTCATCATTTTACCAAATATATGTGGTGGGTGTTGGAGGAAATGGGGTAATATTTAAATTTAAGTACCCTGAATCACCCTCACTTCTTGAGTTTCTGACTCAGTAACAAGAGTGCCAAATAAATAGCCCCAAAGTGGCATAATTCCAACTGCCTTTTTTGCAGAAATGATCCTAAAACTCATTTGGAGGTGCGAGGAACCCAGAGTAGCCAATATAATCTTGAAAAAGAAAAACAAAGTTGGAGGACTTACACTTCCTAATTTTAAATCCTAATACAAAGCTATGTTAATCAAGATGGCCTGGTACTGGCAAAAGGGTAGACAAACAGATCAATAGGATAGAATTGAGAATCTAGAAATAAATCCATACCCATACAATCAATTGATTTTTGACAAGGATGTCAAGACTATTCAATGGGGAATGAATAATCTTAAATAAATTATAATTGGACAGCTGGACATCCATACACAAATGAGTGAGTTTGGATCCCTGCCTCACACCGTATGCAGAAATTAGCTCCAAGTGGATCAAAGACCTAAATATAGAAACTAAAACTATAAACCTCTTAGAATTACACATAGGTTTAAATCATCATGACCTTGGGTTAGGCAGCAGTTTCCTAGTTATGACACCTAAAGCACATGCAACAAGAGAGAAAACAGATAAATTGAACTTCATCAAAATTAAAACTTTTGTGCATCAAAGGATTATATTAAGAAAGTGAAAAGGCAGTCAACAAAATGGTAGAAAATATGTGCAAATCATATACCTGATAAGCATCTTGTATCCAGAATATACGAAAAGCTCTTACAACTCAATGATAAAAATATCTAAGTCTTAAATGGGCAAAGAACATAAATAGACATTTCTCTGAAGAAGATAGACAAATGGCCAATAAGCACATCAAAAGATGTTTAACATCATCAGTCATTAGGTAAATGCAAATCAAAAACACAATGAGATACTGTTTGTCACCCAGTAGGATGACTAGAATCAAAAAAGACAGAGAGCAAGTGTCAAAGATATGGGGAAATTGGAACCTTCATACATTACTGGTGAGGATGTGAACTGCTGCAGCCACTTTGGAAAAACCATTTGGCAGTTCCTCAGAATGTGACCCAGCAATTCCATTCTTAGGTACGTACCCATGAGAATTGAAAACATAGGTTCATGCAAAATATAGCATAAGAATGTTCGTAGCAGCACTATTTATAATAGCCAAAATGGGAAATGATCCATATGTTCACAAACTGAAAAATAAATGTGATCTATCCAAACCATGGAAAATTTATTCAGCCATAAAAGGAATGAAATACTGATACATGCTATGACATGAATGAACCTTGAAAATACTATGCAGGTGAAACAAGCCTGACACAAAAGGCTGCATATTGTATGGATCTATTTATAGGTAATACCCAGAACAGATAAATCTATAAGAGGCTGAAAGTAGATTAGTAGTTGCCAGGGGCTGGGCAAGAGAGAAACAGGGAGTGACTGCTAACGATTCCAAAGTTTCTTTTAGGGGTGATTAAAATTTCTGGAATTAGATAGTGGGGATAGATGTACAAATTGGTGTGAATTTACTAAAAAATCACGGGATTGTGCACTTTGAAGAGGTGGATTTTATGTTATGTGAATTATATTGTATTTGAAATCTGCAAAAAATATAAAAACCAAGTGGCTGGGAGTCAGGGTGCATTATCCAAAACAGCTGCCCAGAGAGGAAGGTTTTTAAGGCCTGCAGGGTAGACTGAGTCCTGGGAAGGAGCACATTGCTACCACTGAGAGAACAAAACAACCCTTCCTTTGCTCACTCTGCTCAAGCCACGTGGCATCTGACCATTCCTCCACTTGACAAACACATGACCACCTCACATCTTTTCACTCTCTTGCCCTTCTACCTGGAATGGGCTTCCCCTAGAGGTCTTCCCTCTTAGTGCAGCCAGGTTTCTGCTCAGTGTTCTCCTATTTAGAAAGGATTTCCCTAAGCACTTTGTCTAAAACAGCCCTCTTCTCAGGCTTAATTCTTCTGCATAGGCTTATCACTATCAGACACTGGAGAGTAACTGGTTTCTTCTCACCATAAAATAGGGCAAGGTCAGCATATAATTTATTACTTCATGTGCATGGAAAACTTCAGGTGAGCTTCAAGTTGACACAGGTACTGTGCAGGCCATCTGGATGACACAGTTCTGGGTCACAAAGAACAAGCCTGAGACTACACGAGGCAGAGACTCATTGGAAGACGTAAGTCATGAGTCAGGCAAGACAGCCATAGGTTAAGCCCAGGCTGGGAGTAGATGATGACTGCTTACAACAGCATCAGCAAACATGATCCATGGGCCAAATCCTGCCCGCTGCCTGATTTGTAGATAAAATTATACTGGAACCATTTGAGTAGCGCCTATGGCTGCTTTTGTACTCCAACAGTACAATATTGTATAGTTGCGACATAGACCACGTGACCTGCAAAGTCTAAATTGTTTACTGTCTGGCCCTTTACAGAAAAAAATTTGCTGGGTTCTGGTCTAGAAGCTCTCTCCTTGGTACAATTACTGTCTGCAAAGTGAAGATGGGCAGCATTTGTTTGAACAATGTTGGGGGAGACTCACAACTTGTGGATTCTGTATCTCTCATGATGTGGGACTCCACAAGACAAAGTCTGGTGTTTATTTGTCAAGGGAAAGGGAAAGGAAGGAAGGAAACAATGCAAGACACAAAGGGATACAGAGGCAAATGGTAGAGTTGAAAACAGGGTAACATTTTAAATTAAACCACAGTACTCAGCTGTGCTTGCCTGAGTGCGGGAGCAGGGACACTAGAGGTGTGTCCTGTGCCATGGGAGGGGCATGTTTCTGCAGGTGCAGGGATGGGGCAGATTACTCAGGGCCTGGGGAAGGAGACACAAGGAAGACACACTAAGCCCCTGAGGGCAGGCCTTAGAAACATCACAGCATCTTCAGGAATAGAGGTGAATCTCTAACTGTGGGCCCTCATACTGCCACACTAGTCAGGTACTGGATATGGCTGCCCCAGGCAGAGGGCTGGCCTTGGGCGAGGCTGTTTCTTCAGCTGACACAATTTCAAAAGAAGGTTATAGTTGAGGACCTTCTGCCAGCAGTTCCCAGCAGCTGGGGAAGAAGCTCTCTCTTCCTGCAGGAACCTTGACGCAAAGCCTTGTAGCATCTGCCACATCTACAAAATAATTTAAGAGAAGCAAATGTCACATTTTTTGGAATTGACATTATTAAAGTAATGGACATTTACTCTCTCATTCACTCATTTTTATTCCATAAATTGTATAATTATATGTCTTTATGTATGATGTATAATCTTGTGTATATTATT